AAATGATGTATACTTTAAACGAAATTTTCCATTGCTTTATAAAATGAAGTAACCTACCTGCCAGAGAGACATGCTGATCCTCTCCCGGGGATTTGTGTGGGGCTCAAACTGTCAGACAGTGATAAAAGTCTGTTTCTGTGACATACCTTGTCAAGGCCCCAGTGCTGACATCATGGGGAAAATAAATTAAATGGCATTATACCAACGAAGAAGACAGCATTCCCACAAGAAACTTGGTGGGTGCTCATCTGCGAGCGAGGTAGAAACCTTTTCATTTAGTGAAAAACTCTTTCTGACAGCCTGGTAGGTGAAGGGAAATCAAAGATGCAAGGGGTGAAAGATCAGCCAGAGCATCCTAGTCAGCAGTGATAAGAAACACAATCCCTCCAGAACAATGACTGCAGGGATCACCGCTGCATGGCACTTTGCACGTCTGCATGGCACATTGTACAGTGCAGTTTCATAGGTGACACCATAGCCTGAGCTCAGATAAGGAGCACAGAGGTACAGAGGAGGAAGTGTGAGGGTCGGGGCCTTTGAGCTGTCTGATGATTTAGTTCCCATAAGGAAGCGCTTGGCTTGCGGGAAAGAGCCGCTGTGAGTGGGCATACTGCCTGCACACTGACGCGGATCCCAGGGCTTCTGTTCTTTATGAAGAGGCAAGGAATGGCTGGAAGAGGCTTTATCTAGATTCCACAGCACTTCAGCTGCACCCAGAAGTAATACAGTGTGATACTCCTAAATCAATCATCATAAGCTTCCAGGTTGGTGTATAGAATATTTTCAGTTGTTCCATGGTTATTTCTGGAACAAAAGAAAATGTTTATTGAGAATCTTTTAAACTTGTCAAATATTAATAATACGACTTTAAACCTGTCTGTGGCAGCCTCGGGTGGCTTTCTGGCATTTACTAGCTGCTCCACAGTCTGCTGTCCTGTTTCCTGTGAAGGCAGCTTACTGCAATGTGGCAAACTTATTAAGGCAGAGGAGCAGGAAAAAGAGTAGATTGAATTTTTAAAGAGAGGTGAGCCTGCAATCTAACTCAGTGATGGCATGCTTACCTGGCATACCTGAAGCCTGGGCTGAGAAACTGCGGCTTGGAGCTTGAAGACAGGACAGTTTGATACAAAGCATTAAATTTTCTCTTAGGCCTGGTGGCCAGTGAGGTTGCTTAGTAGTTGCTGGCAGAATTGATTCTCTCCCAGACCTAGAGTAATGCGCATGTTACTGCAGAGCACTTCCGGACACCAATGCCCAGCACTGAAATGAGGATCCTGTATTTCACACAAAGCCTTGTTGTTAGTTTTTGTTTCTAGGGGGCAGGAGGTGGGCAAACCTAGGGATTCTCTCTCACTGAGCTACATCACTGCCTATTTTGTTTGTTTTGACATAAGGTCTCACTAAGTAAGACCCTGTTGCCCAGACTGGCCTTGAACTTATGATCTTCTTACCTCAGTCTCCCAAAGTAGCTGGGATTATAGGAATGCACCACTCAGGCTGGTGCACATCATACTTTTTTACTGAAACCTAAAGCATGCTATTATGTTTTAATTATTTTATTTTATTTTTAAATTCTGTCTCTTAAGCATTCACCTAAATATATGCTAAATAGCTGTACTGAGCAAAATACAATAATGACTATAAGTAGCATTCAGCACTGTCAAATCAATTCTGTATGGTTACTATCTTATTTTTATGACAAAAATTGTTTTCTTCTAGTATTTTAAAAAAATACATGCCACATGCACATATCTTTGTGTATTAAATAACAGTAAGGTACTTTGATATGGGGGTCAGATTTTAGGATATAATATTAAAATGACAGACGTAAGTGTACAAGTCATCAAAATTTCAGCAAGTAGATCCAAAAGCAATTTAGCAAAAATTGTTTCTACCTTCACGATGAGTGAAATTTCTCCAAAGGGGACATCAGTTTAGAGTATTTCTTCAACATCTCCCTCGAACCTAATGACACAAAGATTGCATGTAAGAGAGCAATAAATTAATTTTACTAAGTACATAAAAGACAAGGACAGCTACTCATGAGATGAGCACAAATGCTGCATTCGACAATGGAAATATAATTACATTTGTAATAAAACGGAAGGAAGTTGCAGATCTGCGTGTTATTTGAGGAATTAATCAGCCATCCTCCTTCAGAGCTGTGCAGTTTGATAAACTATCCTTGAAAGATATGTTATCAGAACCCCCATTTAGTAAGTACGTTGGAGCCTTCAACTTAGCATGTGAATAAGAGTATGGCTGTAAAGCTTTTGAGGTACCAATTGATCTCCTTAGGTCTGCTCACTCAAGACCTCTTCCTAGGTACATAATACTATGAAACTTAAGATTTCGTTCTGTTACAGTACACTACACTCTCACATGTGAAATTCTGTCCAAACTTACTTAAGAACTGTTGGAACTACATACATATCAAAATTTAATTAACACTGCTTTTTTTGGACTGGATATCAAAGCCAGCACCTTACTTGCTCTAGATAAGCACTCGAGGCTGAACTGCATCTCAAGTTTCCCTATGTTTCCACGTCAGGCAGACTCTTGCTAAGTTGCCTTGAACTTGCCTCTCTCCTATCTCACCCTTCCCAATAGCTGGGATTATAGGCGAGTGCCACCCTGCAGTATTCTTTACTTGATGAATATCATGTATTTGTGTTGTATTTTAATATGATCTTCCTGATTGAGGGCTTACATAGTGACTTTCATTTAAGTCTACCCCTACATATTAAGCTATACCCAGCCTGTTGAGCTGGCCCCAAGCTTAAGTTGGTGGGATTGTTTTGACTAGGATTCTTAGTAATCACAGAAGTAAGAGGCCCCTTCCTGTCTTCATCTAGCTCAGCTGCCTTGTTTAAAGATGACACCAAGGGATGGAGATGCTGTCTGCATTGCCCAAGCCCTTTCTTGGCTCACCAGGGGCCACACTGGTCAGATCTGTCCTGACCAGCTCTGTTCAGCCACTGCCACCTCCTCAGGCCTTGCTCTCACTGGCTTGTCGAGTCCATTTGTCCCTATGGGATCTGTATTACAGGTTCAGGATGGGAGCTAGAAGTATTTTGGATCTCAGATTTTTTTTTAGATTTTGGAACATTTGCACATCCATAATGATATCTTAGGCATGGAACCAAAGTTTAAACACAATCTTCCTTGATAATTTCATGTAGTATCTTTAGCGAGTTTATGATTTGACAGCAGCCTGTCCCATGAAGTCAGGTGGGAAATTCTTGTGGGGTCACATTGGCACTCAAAACAATTCAGATTTTGGAGCATTTTGGATTTCAGTTTTTCGAACTGAGTATATCTGCCTATATTATTACCTCAAGACTTGGGCAGGTTTTAAGGAATTTAGAGCATTAGGCACTGTTTTTAAGTAGGAGGATCCTTCCCAAGGTGGAAAGTTCCCCTGTATGAGAGGTGGCAGGACAACTGGTGTCACATTGAGCCTTGGGCAAGGGCTCCTGCTGTGCCCTGCAGAGCATGACAGCCTGTCTTGTCTTCCAGCCTAGGGTTCAGGCTGCCTGGCATTCATTCCAACCACTTTACACATTCTAACAGAGAATCCAAAGCAGCTCTTTGGATGCTTGATGTTTGCATTTAGGAGGCAGATGCCAACCCGTGGATGGACAGAGCAGTAGGACAGTGTGGTGCTTGACTCAGGAGCTTTCCTAGAACACATATTATTAACTGTGGCTTTTTCATGCATAGTTGACTCTCTGTAAACTGATTGACACCTTTGGGGGCCATCTTTCCACTGACTCATAATTTTCCTCACTCTCAAAAAAGGTTTCTGTACACCCAGTATTCTCTAGTTAAAGCTGAAAATTCAACTCATCATATTTACACAATAAAAAAAATCTATTCTGCCTTGTTTTTAATTGCAAATTCTACTCAGGGGACTAGTTCTCCTGCTTAGGAGGCAGCCCCGTGCCTTCTCCTAGAGATTCAAGCACAGTCAATTATGGTAATGAAATGTCAATAAATATAAAAATTTAATACAGTCTGCTCTGGGTGAGTGGCAGATGAGGACTTGCCTTCCAGACAAATTTGCTGCTGCTGCAAATATTAAATGCACCTAAAAGAGTATCTGGTTGCCTGAGAGCTCTCCAGGAAAATAAGGGTGGGCACAAGCATCAGGTACCAAGCGGGCTTTCCCATTATGCTGTAAGTGCAGCTGCAAAGTCAGTACCACTGACAGCACCTCCAGCATCTTAACTTATATAGATGGAGCTTCTGTGTCCCATGAATACCCTAACACGGGTGCCTTATTGCACTTTTTTTAAGAAAAGGGAAATAATAAGCCTTCTCTTACTCTTACAACTCCTTTGCTGTCCTTAAAGGGAGATGTATTAATTTGATGGGCTCTGATGTAATCACCTGAAACTAACAATTTTACATCATAAGTTTTAAGGAAGCAGCACACTAAAGAATGCTTAAAATACGATATTTTGGTCATCCCCAAGCTTGACTACATTTTCCCTGATTGCATTAAAATGTAGCCTTTCTGAGGCTACATTGAGGCTACATTATATGCACAATGGGAATGTATCTCTGCTTTTATTTTCTTCATATACTATTTAGTGTCATTGTGTATTTTCAGAGTGATGTCTTGGGTTCAATTCTTGTGGACAGTATCTTATTCTATCAATGAATTTTAAGAATTAAAAATGTTTATTGTGACAATGTAATTTCATATATATGTATGTGTGTATGTATATGTGTGTGTGTGTGTATATATATATATGTATGTATATATAATTGTAACATTCCCATTCTCTACAAAGCTCATCACATGATTAGGTTTATCAGAATAATTGTGATTGTATTCTGTTAATAGACTGTATCAGAAATGCCTTTCAAGAGGAAACCCTCCTCTGTTGTTAGTCTGTGTTGCAGCATGGCAGTACCCATGCTTCTTGATTTCAAGTGCTATGTGTATTTCTGATTGTGACACTAGTGCTTATAATCATGATTCTGTGTTGCAGGTGGACTATTCTATAATAGCATCACAAGCTGGCGCCACCCTCAACAACCTCATGAGTCACGCGCAGGAGCTAGTGGCAAAACTTCGGTCCATACAGCTTGATCAGCGAGAGTTTGTTTGTCTAAAGTTCTTGGTGCTCTTTAGTGTAGGTAAGAAAAAAAATGTTCTCATACTAAGTACAATCAAATATTTCTAAGTGGGGCCAAATATTGAGTGTCTTCAAGTCTATAGTTATGGTTTTGTCCTATCAAGATGGTGCCTTTTCTTTCAAATCATGAACTCTTCAAACACGAATATGTCTTCCTATATATTTTTACATGATTCTTAGCCTTTCGGTGGCTAGGTTGGGGTTTGGAAAAGGAGTTAATTCGGTTGGAGTCCTGGGTTTTCTTCCATAATGGGCAGATAATCAACAGCCAAGTAAACATATGATAGATTAGCAAAGATAACTTAGGGGCAACATATGGTATCAGAGTTTAGCCATCTTTCTGCTATTGATTGTTTCTGTGCACGTTTTGTTTCATCTTGCTACGTAGTGCTGCTTTTATTCTTCTAAAATATGGATAGTAATTAAAAGCTTGTTTTTAAAATCTATATCAGGATTAACCAGAGCGTGTTTATAACCAGATGTACCCCAATGCAAGTATAAAAGGTGACAGTTGTCAAGAGGAAAGATGCTTCTTTAGCAAAGCTTTAGAGAAGAAAGATAACTAAGCAAGACAGATTAGCTAAATCAAGGTTCTCAGTGAGCCAGTGGAGAAAAATCACCACTGATTGGAATAAAAAAAGGATTAAGGAGATGGATTTTTATTGACTTCAAAGGAACAGATTTTTCTGCCTGTCCCTTGCTTGATTTCTGTATTTTGTTGGCTTAATAAAGCCAACTTAAATAAACTTTTTGCCAAGTCCATTTATTCCTCATTGGCAGACAGCTGAGGGAGGCAACTTCCCTTGACTGAAAAAAAAATGCAGAAATCAGATTTACCAACATGTGTTTTTTCTTTAGTCTTCAGTTATAAGATAGTTGCAAATTCAGATCCTAAGAAATAAAACAATAAAACAAACTGCAAAGTAAAACAGATGTGTCTGCTCTCTAAATTGGGCACTTTAAATTAAAAATTCCTCTTGACAGCACTGCACAACTGTTGCTAATAAAGGAATAGTCTGAAGTAATAGAAACAGCTAATTTTTCACATCTAGTCAACATTTAAAATAAAAAGAACATTTTCATATTTTGGAAAGTGCGATAAATATAGCAAAAAAAAAGTTACAGAAAATTTAAAAAGACAACAGAATTTTATAGATGTGGTGTTCAAAAGTTTGCAGTACCAGGACTAGATCCTGTGTGGTTTCTGCATTTGCCACACTAATCAGGAAAGTTCCATTCAAGTCAGTCTGTGCGTGGGATCCACCAAGCGCTTTTAGCAAGCCCAGGGTATGTAGGCATGGGCCCGTGGGCCAGAATCTCATGACCACTCTGGCTTGTGGCAAATCTTAGCCTTTTCAACTGGTATGTTTGCTCAGTAATTAAATGGAAAATGTGGTAATGTATGTGTCAGAAGTCTTATAGCATTTCAGTGATAAAATATTTAGAGAGAGTCATCTCACTTCAAAGGTATTTTAAATTAGCTAACGAACTGTGTGATATTTGAAGATGTACATATTAGGCATGAACCATCCTTAGTTCTCATCACTTTTATGTTGGCCCTCAGCATTTCTCAAAACTATTCTATTCTCTGCCAGTTGGGGGTGGATCCTTTAGATTTTCAACCTTTGAACCTTACAAATTATCTACCTGAATGATGGCATTTACTGAACCTCAATCACACACTCTCTCACTTAAGGAGTGTCTTGACTGTTTCAGGACTGTAGGGTATCAGTGGCCTAAATTTCCACTTCTCTCTCTCTTCTTCCTCTTCCTCTCCCTCTTCCTCTTCTTCCTCTTGTTGTTCTTCATCATCTTCTTTCTTTCTTCTTGTTCTTCCTCCTCCATCACTTCTTCCTCCTCCTCTTCCTCTTGTTCTGTTTCTTTTTTTGGTGGTGCTAGGGTCAAACCCAAAGCCTCACAACTGCTGAGTGATAGACTTACCACTGATCTATATCCCCAGTCCCAAAGCAGTGTCTACACTTGTTTAAGGAAGAAAGGAAAGCATAGTAAATAAGGTTTGAACAAAACTTAGGAGTTTGTTTATTTGTTTGTTTTTGAGACAGGGTCTTGCTATACAGTTCAGCCTGGTCTTGAACTCACTGTTGTAGCCCAGGCCAGTCTTGAACTCACAGCAATCCTCCTGCTTTCGCCTCCAGAGTGCTGAGATTACCTGCATGTGCCACCATGCCCAGCAAGAGTTTATTTTTAAAGAAGCAGGGAAAAATTAACTGTCCATAAAATTTAGGTAGTTTCCAGTTTATGAGTCAAAAACTCTGTTCCCCATAGAAACAATGGATTATTGACTTTTTTCAAAAATTTCATCTTTATTGAACTGTATGAATAGTCAACCTGTAGAATCCCAGGCTTGTTCCACCTGTGAATGAGGGTAAAACTACTTAGAATCACCCTTAAGGGCCAGTCCAAGCCCTTAATCTGCTGCCTTAAACCCCCTTGAATCTTTAGTCTCCTGAGTCTGAAACCAGGTGTGTTCTGATCTTAAGTCACCCTTGAGCTTTCATCCTGTAAAGAAAAAAGAAAAAGAAAGGATGCTGGAAGCCATGCAGAGATGGCTGCTGGCGTCATATTTTCCTGTGAACCTGAGTCAGGCTTTCCCAGATGGATCTGCAGAGAAAAGGTGGGGTGAGGTCCTGAGCAGGCACAGCATCCCCAGCCGAAAGGATGGCCCTGGATGGTGTTGGACAGGGAGAGCACAGAAAGCACAGGGGAGCAGTCCAGGAATATGGGCTGAGGGACTGGGGACAGATGGACAGAGGGCTGGCAAGGTAGGCGAGCGCCCAGCCAAAATCCATCTGACAAGTGCTCATGGAGCACTTCCTATGCAACCTACACTGCGGTAAGTGCTCCGGAGACAGTGTCAGCCAAAGCATTTTGCAAATGCGTTTCATTGTTTAAGCAAACGGGAAGCATCTCAGATCTCTTAAAACACAGGCAAGGCGGTGGGTGGCCCAGGTTGATTTTCGGCAGCGAAGTAGAAAGATTGTACCTTGTCATGGGATGGGAATGAGTTGAGGGACGTGAATTAGTTGGAAGTTGCAAACCACAGGATGTGACAGGGGTAAAGCGGGAAACCTAGCGGGGAGTCTCTGGGTTCCACATGCTTAGAGAGAAAGAAAAGTTTGCCTGGACAGTCAAACTAAGGCCCAGAGGCAGCACCCCTTCTCACGGTTCACTGACCCTGAGTCCCACTTCTGTGAGAAGAACCATAGGAAATAAGTCTTGTCCACTGTCTGCTTCCCAGTTGAATTAATGAGCAAACATCAGTTGGGTAGGCGGCTCAAAAAAGGCAAAGTCAAACTCTCACCCGCACCCTCTGTGTGATAGACCCTCATGGTGCAGTCTGTATTTTGTGCTTGTTATAATGTGTTCTTGAATTCTGCCAAATTACTGAGTTTTGTTGCCTGACTGAGATAGTGCTGATTGTGATCGTTGATACTGTAGCAGAAAAGGAGGTATTCTGAGTTAGCCAGTTAAAATTCATGATCCAAGAGAGACCAAAAGAAAACTTTTAATCTTTATTTATTCATTTTCACTCCCACTCTCTAACAAGGAATCAAAGTGACGACTGATGAAAGGAAATTCACAGTCTGTCACCCAGTGGAAAAAAAAATCCTACAGAAGAAAAGGCGGTCATGATTGTCTATATCATGATTGTCTATATATTATGACTGCATTTTGCATAAGTAGAATTCCTATAAACTTACCTGAAGAACAGTGACTTGGTTTTAATATGCACCCAGGTATGGCAATACATATCTATAACCTTAGCACTTGGAGGCTGCTGAGGCAGGAGGATTGCTGTGAATTCAAGGCCAGCCTTGGCAACATAGTGTGTTCAAGACCACACTCAACTAACTACACAGTGAGACACTGACTTAAGAAACGAAAGAAAAACCAAAAGGCAGTATCTCGAATAATGTCACTACATGTTCAAGCCCATTAGAAACATTAATTAATGTGACATCAGTGTTCGAAGCAACAAGTAACCAGACTTGCTAGCTAAGATGCCATGCATATGTTTCTTGGCCTTGGGACTTGAGGGCTGGATGCTGCTGCCGTATTTTTTTATATACCCTAGATGCCCCCCCCCAAAAGTACCAGAAGCATATTATATCCTATTTTCTCTAATGAGTATCCCTGATTTGTTATAAATAATTCTCTTTTCTGATCAGCCAATGTTTCTGAAAGTACTTCTTTTTTATGCCTGAGTTATACCCACTGTTGGTATTTTTGAAAAGGTTTCCCAGGTCAAAATGATGACTAAGAATTGGTTCAAATCTCTTTAAATTACACTTTCTAGATCCACTGAATGAAACTACTCTGCTTTGAAACTGGTTTAGTACAGCAGAATCAGCACTCTATCTCCACCAAAGGGAAATTCTCCTTTATGTTTCCTTGCTATGCCAGGTTTTTGAGCATTGGTTGGTACATTGGTATACACAGGTAGGCCCTACAGAATGGTTACTAATAAAATAGATAAATAAATGGATCTATTTAAATGCAAAACAAAGCCTTTATGAAAATAATTGTGATAGCTAGTTAAAAGTAATGTAGCCAAAAATCCCATTGCAGTTTAGGTAGGTTTTCTGGGACTCATATTTTGAAGGCGTTCTCTAACTTGCCCTTGCTCTCAATTCTCATTCTCCCAGTTTATGACAGGGAGTGTTTCTATATAAGCTCTTTGGGAGCACTAATTACAGAAAAAATACAGCTGGCTGAAGCCAGGTGACGTATGTACTTCTGTTACAAGCAAGTGAAAGACCAGAGACTTGTAGCCTGCGATCAGAACAGTGGTTGAAGAGCGTTCTGTACTTTCTCCCTGTCCCTAACAGTTTTATTTCTAATAAAACACATGTGAGATATCTTACCTTCATTCATCATGTGGCAGATTTTCAGTGCGTGAATGTGGCTTGTGACTCCACCTTCACATGGTCCAGGTAAGAGTCACCAATGCAAGCGCCCAGGGAAGACGAGCTGTGATCA